ACAGGTGATGATTCATATTTGACGAATATCGATTATCGATAAGTAATCTCTATGAATGTTAATGTTAGCATTGTTCTAGGATTTTAAATTCCTATTGTCCCAGGAATTCCCTAATTCCCTAGAGTCTCTTTAGTTCTTCAATCTACTGCAAGAGATCTCGAAATGCCTTAAGTCCTCGAATTTCTAAGGTTCTGGATACCTCTGAATGCCTTTGGACCTCCCAGTTTTCCGAAGTTTCGGATTTCTTTTTCAGTCAGTCGAGTTCAAATTTTCGGCAGTTTATTGGATACATGTAATTAAAGAAAAAAGTTTGTAATATATACGAAAATTACTGAAACATTCTTTATCGAAGGATCTATCAGTTTTGATTTCTTACAGACGCGACAGCTATTAAGGATACATTAGTGTTTATCTTTCGTTGGAATACCCAAGTTCTTCGTAGACAATAGGAGTGTAAAATAATGCCAGCTTATTTTTCGTACTTATCGCTGGACAAGGTAAACTTATTTCCCTGCGGAACTGTAGGCCGTAGAACGAGCGGTATTCTGACAGAGAGAGCAAAGTTGTTCGCCCTGGCTATCTTCCAAACGGTAGCAGATTGCTTGATATTGCCAATCCACGTGCGAAGATATCCTGATAGTATGCCTGACCTAATACTACTAACGGAATTTGCTTCTACTATCACGATTAGCAAAAGAGCTATTATCTTTGTAGGACTAGGATTAAAAGAAATCATTGTTTCTGAATTGTCGGATATTTACCGTGTCCAAGATAAGCAACAGGAAGTTAACATGGTCATGAATGATGAAGACAAATTATTGAATTACTTCACATGCATACTTCAGATGCAAAATACACATAGACGGAGTTTCTTAATATACCTTTGGAAGAACAGAGGTTCTTCAATTCAAGTCAAAGCAATTAAATTACTAAATGTGTTTAAATATTTTGTTTTCGAATAAGAAATAATTTAAAAATATGTCTGAGACTTGCTCACACTACTGACTACATTGTGAGCTTGAAAAAGATAAGACAAGACAAAAGGAATTAATTTACTACAAAAATATCAAGAAATGTCCACATAAACACGCGCCTATATTTTCTTCTTTCTATTCATTTTTTGATTAAGGAAGTTTCTTGATAATTTTCAATTTCCTGGTTCGTAGAGAAGACAAGAGAGCAGCTAATAAAGTCAACTTTCCTACGTGATTCGTAGTAACAAGACATAAAATGGGAACCTCACCGCTGAACTTCCGGAACGCAAATGATGGCTGGTATATGGAAAAAGTTACATAACAAAGAAGAGAAACATGCGTGGGTATAAGCCACGACATATTTCATTGGAACTACTACCATACCTGAGATGAAGATGGCTCTTCTTAAAAGGTCACTTTATAATTAACTCGCATCCGGTGGAACAACGCGTGAATTTAAAGGAAAGGGACAGCAAATGAAACTTACAATGACTGAATGCGTTTTTAACTCTCTATAATATCATTAAATGCAGATTTACATATCTAACTGCATATGAATGATCAGATTATTAGAAGTGACCATACTTTCACCAAGCAAAGCTATCCGAATTCAATTTTTGAGCACCAAAAAATTAGAAAAACAGTTTAAATGCTACCTTTTAATAAGATTTCCATTAAGAGACCAAATTAAAGTGGATAAGATAGAAGTTAATTTGAACAAAGAAGAAACAAAATGTTGGTCTCACAGTAAAGAAAGTAAGAGTGAAGCAATAGTTTTGATCATCTAAAGTATATCTGAAAATATGAGAAATATTGTTATAAGTTTTTCAAATATTTCACGGTTACCTCTATTTTTTTAAATAATAATTCCTTTTTGATATTTATTAAACGACTTCAAAGAAATAAACATAGGTAAACGGAGGAACTTTGATCATAAAGCTTTATATTCAGTTTAGCAAATATCGCGTTCCTTTAAAATTTAATACATTTATAGACATGCCCCTACAATATCAGCACAATTTAGTGCAAATTTCTTATTCAAACAAGAACTATACACAATTGTGAAATGCACTCTAAAGATCTTCATATTCTCTACATTATTTTATTGATTACTATGATTGCTTATATACTAATTTTGTCCGACTTTATTCGTGTCCCATACACACATCAACGTATCGATTTACCTTTTACCTTCGTCCCGATGAATTATTTGCTAGAACGAAGGGTATGCATGTTTCATATATTTTTACTTCCGTTTCTCTACCTCATTGATACTTACCAGTCTATTCTTTGCATTTCATGCATTTTTATTTCATCCTTCTTTCATAAACTTTTATAGATATTTTTCAAATACTGATAGTACTGCAATTCTTTCATATAATTCTAATTTATACATATATATTTCTAAATATAAGTATTAATATCGCATCAACCTCGTATAATTGATCATTCATTATTAAGTTATGAACCAATTTTCTTGTGCATTTCAAAGATGCCTTTTTTCATTCCGAAAAAAATGTTAATCTAATATAAATAATTTAAACCTGTCACTCCTTTCTACATATAGGATTACTTGCTACGAACATTCATACCAAGTTTCCGTTTCCGCAGTTTAGTGCAGAGACATATATCCAATATACTCATAACTCTATCTTGGAATTCTCATATTTTTGCATCTCTCTACATTTCCAGAATTTTTCTCTTCGGGCATCGAACATTATTGCGACGCCATTATTGCGATGCTAATACCGTGTCGGAAGTGCAATATCGCAAAATCATCTTCGTGTATCACCTTCGTCTGCTTCGTGGAAAAGTTTCGTGACAAATAAATCTTCGGCAGTCAAACGAATTCGCCGATATCATAAGTTGGTCTTTGAAAAGAAAGTCTAACAAGAGGGCTGGCGTGCTACTCAACAGGGCTATTAACGTTCTTTTATTAAGACGCTCCTTGATATCTATTAATCTCTCATATATTAAGTGCACTCCTGACATATATTACAGGCTTTTCAAATTTTTTCCAATAAACACAATCAGTATGTTTACCTCTCGTGTGTCTGATTATACCAGTTGTGCCTCTGAGTGTACAAGTAAAATTTAATGTAACAGTATCAAAAGATCTTTGCTCCCGCTCTCTTGTAACATTCTTTCAACCGCATTCCGTATAATTATGGTTCTGCGAATCATTTAAAAGCCTTATACGTCATTTCTAAGCACCATACCGTTCTTATATACGTAATCGTTTGGTCGATAACGATAAAATCAATAGTCGTAGAACACGTTTCCGTAAACAAGGAAGCCAGTCCCAATTATAAGCAGGAAACGAAGCAACGAGGATAAGTAACGAGGATACGTGCATACAAAATCTGTTTGGACGTTGCATAGATACGATGGTCCTGTGCACGTCGTATTGATTTCAATTGGCCAGGAATACCGTAATAGATGAACCATTCAGATGCATATAAGGATCCGGTATGTCCGCGCATGGAACCGCCACTGGCTTCTTGCCTCGTTACGAATAATTCACAGCGGACAATAGCGGAATAATTGGCGGTTACGTCGATAGCGCCACGTGTAATAGTAAACGCAGTTGGAATTTTTCTGCCTGGAGAAATCATTCAGGATGGCAGTAAAAATTGATCGAGAAATGCAATAAATTTCGTGTATTGAATATTTGATACCGTTTATGTTCCAACATCTTTGTAGTATTTCAATTACTTCGGATAAGTATTATCCATGATAACGTTGTATCAATTTGAATCCAGTAACATTCATTCATGAACATCGGTATAATAACTAAAAATAAAGACGTTAATCCAAGAAAAAGAAAAATAAGCTTCGTGTTAAAGTAGTACCTTGGAAGTTAGCCAAAGTCTGTGATCGTATGTAACCGACATGGGACAACGATGCTCACAGCAGCCATGCTTCGCGCGTTTGTTTGTGTATCTTAAGGTAGATGGAGCCGGAGGCTCGTTTCGCGCAGTCGGATGTAAGAAATGGCTGGGGTAGCAGCTGACCAATTTCCAAGGTACGACTGTAAGTACGCTATATGTATATGCATTTTGTTGACAGATTTGTTACGCTTCCAAAGCATAACGGTTTCGTTGATTTTAGGAAATATTTAATAGGAGTGTTAAGAAAAATAGTACCAAATGTAAGTATTTAATTGTTAATTGATAAATGATAACCGATAACTGTAATTGTTTGAGAACGTACCTGAGTTGGAACCTTTTGTATCCATAGGCGGCGGGGGGTCATCAAGTGGCCTGTACATGGTATCTTCCGTCTGAGAAGGCGGGATGCTGCACAAGAAAGAAAAATGGAAGCGACGTGTTGTTATTAAATATCGATCCGAGCTGTCGGTTGTGTCTCTTAACGAGGCACATCGTTAGCGGCGTGTTATTTTTCCAAGAATCAATTTTTCCTGAACGTGATGAAGCGAAAACGCAGTTTCCTTAATAAAGTGCCAAATTGCGGAGTTAATAGCTTGCGTAATTGATGGAAACGCGACGATCTATATAATGAAATGTGTAAGTCAGGTTCCCTTCTAATTCTCCCTACAGTCTAACTGATTTTAATTACATAAAGAACGTATACAAGTAAATCGTATATAAATTCATGCTTACATTTGCATTATTTATAGTTATGTACATATATATACATTTCAATTGAATACGTACCCTCTGACTGGAACTTTCGTAACTAAAGGGACGTATATATACATCGTTGCTCATAATTATTCGATCAATTTCGAAGGCATATACATGGATGTCACTTATATAATTTACATTTGAGATAGGCAAAATCTCCACCTAATGATACTGGTACGTAATGTGAATTTTATGTAATAGCGGTCTTTACAATCATAGTTTCAATGAGCTTCATAAATCGAATCGTTACGATCTATATATCTATCTACAAGTATATCTATCAACTACATAACGTTCGTTTTCTAATTAAGGAACCAATGTATGTCCTTCAAATGGAAAGCACAACTGGGATCTTCCAATGGTGTTACAGCAGTACTCTGACTTCAGCTTTATAATATTTAGGGCAGAAGTGAGTCAATCAAACAAATTACTATTGTATAATATATAGGAAATTCCATATTTCGCATTATTTTGCACCACTTGTATTTTGGATTATTTAGTTGTCACGTTTCACGTATACATATATGTATATGTATATCTCAATTTACACGAGAGCAGGTCTTTCTCAGTATAACGAAGAAGCAACGTTATATTTTTCTCTACGGATGTATTGCATGAACAAATTAACTCGAAGAAAAGAACTGTAAGCATCATCGAATATCAAAGCATCGGGGATTTATAATGAATCCAAGGCGAATCGCGGTAAACAGGGTGATCGTTAACGAAACTCTCGAGTCACCTCTTGAACAACGATAATTCTTATTTTAATTTCCAGTCACCTGTTTCTTTATACAGATTACGGGAAAGACAGCAAAGCTGCCTCGAGTTGTTATATCGAAGGACATTTGAAACCGTGGCCGAGTCTCAAAGAGGAGAAAAGAGAAAAGAAGATACAACCATGCGAAGCCCCCTTAATGAACTTTCTTTGTCCGATTACAAATTAAATTACAGTGGCTGATGCGTACACTGTCATTAACAATGGTACATCCTTCGCCAATTAATGGCTCTTCTTCTGGGATGCATTACAATATTTGATATATACCTTTTATAAAATGGAAAATACCAATATCCATTTCATTAATATTAATTCGTTAAAAATTTGAACGATCTTGAAGGATAAATTAGAAAATTAAATGAGAACGTTCCGCAAAGTATTTTATATTTTTTTGATAAAAAAGAAGTTTGTTTGCATCCACCTGAAATGTTCCAAATGTAAATTATTTATCAAAGATATTTTAATCGCTATTAATGTTCTTCAAAAAACCTATTGATTTAGCAAGATCAAAAAACTAATTACTAGATAATAATTATAAAAAAAATCTTGAAAAATGGTATTCTTCATTCATTTTACTCAATTTTCACAAGATCTAAGAAATGCAAATTTAATCATCAATATTCTATTATTCTTACCTCGATGTCTTCTTAGTAATTAAATTACAGTCAAATATATAAGTTAATAAATAAAACTAAGTAAAAAGTATACAAAGTATAAATTTGAAACTAAATTATCTAATACTAGGGATTTTACTAAAATTCTACAAAAAGTTACTATAAACAATAGGCGACAAATAAAGATAAATATTTAAAAGACATAGAATGTCATTGAGCAATCGTGATGCAAATGATCAATGAATAAAACGCTGAGAATTTACAACCCGAAGCGGAATGATATTGACGTTATTTCAACGAATCAATTTTTTTTCTTAAAATCATCTCAAGGACGTACAGTATTAATGGCAGCCTGCAAACTTCCTTGTGACTATCCCTATCGTGGGACCCTTGCGTTACCTTGCCGAAGGTAATTTTCTGGTCAACGGTTTCGAACCGAGAAATTACATCACAACCAGTGCAATCTCGTTGCTTCCCAAGATGGGAAAATTATGTGTTTGTATAATGTTATAATTTAGTGGAATACATGGAATTTACTTAGCTTGTTTAGTGAAAATATCTTTCTTGTGATTAAATTTGATTGATAGTCACTGATAAACTATATGATACATATAAACGGATAAACTAATATAAAGTTTCATTTTAAAATAGTAATAAAATTTTGACACAATTGCAGATTGAAAAGTGATAGTATCTGTGTATATATAAATATCAATGTAATTTTCATTTACAGGAATTGTATAAATTATTCAATTTATCATTATTAATGAATTAATATCGTAATTAAAAATAATCTCAAGCATAATTTTGTAATAAAGGTGAGAAAGTGAATAAATCAGCTATTATGGTAGAAAAATATTTACAAATGGAATCGGCAATGATCGTGACTTTTCGGCAAACAGCGGTCGCTGGCGGCTCTGACATCGCTGGCTATATAAAGACTGCACAACGATCGCAACTTATTTAGTAACGTGACATCAGGTCGAACAGATGAAAACTTTAGTCATAATTATGGTCTATTATAGCTGAACCACATATTTACGCAGGAATAGTGATGCTGAATTGAGAGCTGTACTATAAATTTACTCACCATTTATTTTCTAAACTTCTTTTTAATCTTTAACAGTATTAAGAAATAGATTGCAATAAATTAACCTGTTGCATAAACTTCTTTAATTCTAAGTAACCTTAAAAACAGTGTTAAGCCATAGTATATAATAGATTTAATAAAATTAACGGATTTAAAAATATTAGTAGCGCCTCAAACGGATGCATTCAAGAAAAAGAAATCATAATTTTAAACAGAACTTTAAACAGGATAATCGATTACAATTTGCTGCTTTTGTACGAAAGAATAAAAGTAAGTTTTATATTTTAATATAGCTTAAGCACATAGTATATGTAAAATGTGAAATTTTGTAACATCTAAACGATGTATATTAACCATCTTCTGTGATCTTTTCAGCAAATCGAATGCTAAGTACGAAGAATTATTTCGCAAGTAGTTTAGAAATTGAGATAAAGAAGAAACATTAAATATCAATTTGATGTTGTAAACGATGATTCACATTTGCTGCGATATTATTCCAGAACAGGGGTGTTAGGTGAGACATACGAAAGGTTTCCACTCGCGTGGATGACTGTAAATATAACCTATATGCAATGTGGTTTGTTTTAAGCTCAAATTTATTAAACGCAGAAATTTATACGTTTTCGTGTGCCACGATCGTTTCTTTCCATTTTTTCAGGATTAAACGTATCTTCCAAAACTTGCATTTACGTGTAATAAGTACCTATATATATAAGAGTTGTTGGATTACACTGTCCAACAAATTTTAATTTTTTCTCTAATTTATAATATCCATTGTGATTCTTACAGAGTTTACTTTCCTGAACACACACCCGTAATCAAAATTTCTCTATCATCCTCAGTTTTTGAAAAATGTTTGTATTTATCGCGTAATACTTCATTTTAGCCAAAAATATAGATTATCAAATTTATTATTAAGAATAAATTGTTCAAAGCATATATTTATAATAAAAACAAAAAAATCAACAAATTCTTGGTTATTATAAAAGAAAAGTAATTATTAACAAAATCGGCAACGATCGTGACTTTCCGTCGATCTTCATTCCATCGTTAGTTATATAAAGACGACGCGATTGTTCAGAATCTTTTTTGCAGGGTTCTCTTTGGACCGGATGAATATGTCCCACAGTGCTTGGTTGGTACAACGAAGAAAGTGGTCACGGGTCAAGAATCAAGGGTCAAGGGTCAGTACTATATATGATTATATAAATATAATCATATTTATAGATAACAAATATTTCTTTATATATATTATATATAAATATTTTTTTATATATATTAGGTATATATTTTTTGCATATATTATATGTTGCATAAATATTTGTGTGTGTGTGTGTATATATATATTTCTTTCTTTTTCTAGTATTGGCCGATTTTCAAATACATCACTGGACTGGCCCTTTGCTTTCGTAGTCTCTAATTCCTGTTTTATCATTTTCGTTATTTTTTCCATTAATTTTTTATTCTTTTCCTATTTATTTAATTTTTATTTGCTAAAAATGTTAGTATTGCGTAAGTAGAGTATTAAAATTTAGTGTACCGATCGGAATTCCCTTTGATAAGACTCTGGAATAGTGTCAGTAACATTTCCTCTATGTTAGACAGGAGTATCTTTGGTACAGAAGACTGCCATTAGAGAGCGTTCATTGTAAGGCCCCTAAGGCAAGGTTCCCTATGCGTAGCCATTTCCACATGGTGAGATCTGGTAATTAGTATCGTTTTTCAAAGAATAATTTTTAGGAAACGATATTAAGCAGAGAGTTGCGCTCCGGGTTTAAAATATTTTGTTTCCATTATAAATTTTTAAAGTTTTCTTTCAACTTTGTCAATTTTTCTGTATTTTATAGCAAAATTGTATTTTTCTTTTTCTTCGCAGACTATTATATGTTAGTTCCATTATACTTGGTACTCGGATTACGTGTAACTACGGCACTGACGAGGCTAGAGAAGTGAGCAATGGCTGCGTGGCTATGATCGTGAAAAGTTTTCTTTCAACCTTCCACTTGTTCTTCCGTTGATAGACGATGTTGCAGAGGTTCCTGTGGGAGAAAGAGGAAATTCCGACGGAGGATTCAATTTTTATTGTTCTCCTTGCGTTATCTGTTCTGGTGAGACTGGAAAAATCGGTGGTAGTAATTTTTAATGGAATCGAATAACATACAGTAGCATTGTTTCCATTCTGTAGGATCGTGGAAGAAATATTTTCTTTAAAAGAAAAATACTCTTGCTTTCTTCTTTCTTTTATTTTCCATTACTTTAAGTTTACTTATATGAAATTTAGAAACAGTATTTATATAAAGAATGATCAAGTGAAAACTTTCGCGAAACATGCTTCGATGAGCACAAAGTAAAGCAGTATCGAAGTTCTTAGAGAGTCAATTTCCATAAAAATGAAAATAGGCGTTATTCTCAAACCACCCTAGTACTAATTACCAGAAAATTATCTTTCTGTATTCACGCGACATTTAAATTTTAGATTTTGAAAATATCGAAGTGCGTTCGAATATTTCTCCAATCTATTAATAGATAGACGTGATACCCATTACTATTAATCTTTTCGAAATCATTAATCAGCTCTACACCGAAATTTGTTCCAGATCGCGTCACCTCGAGTCTGCAATTATGCATAACCTTAAAATAAAGGCGAAAATCTTGATGAACGGGTGGAACGTTATCTGTCAAGTTACAGAAGCTCGTTCGCGTTGAACTTTCTCCATCCATAGTTTCAGTCTATTAAATCGACCGTGTTTCACCCATCGCTTGTGCTTTCAAGTGTTGCTTGATGTTATGTACAGAACGGGAAAGACGATTAGCGCTACAGTATAGTGGCAAGAGGAATATTCTGTTTGTTCTGCCTGATTTCACTTTTGATACTTGCAAAATCCCTATTTTTAAGTTCTTGGTAGCAAACACTGACATAACAGCAGGATAAGTTATATCTTTATAAGTTTTGTTCCACGTTAACGGTTAACAGTGGTTCTATACAAACTCTGACGTTTTCTATTGCTCTATATTTTAAAACTGCTATACTTTCTATCCTACTCTATACTGGGATATCCCGTTCGCTCTTTTTGTCACGCGATGTTACCACGCGCTGCTCGGAGATGATTTGGTATTATAGAAGGGGTGTAATCCGATCGCACTTCCAATTCCCTTACAGACATACTGACCTTGACGCGCTCTGACATTTCGACCAATAAGGAAAATACGTGAGCCTTAAAGTTTGTGATTGGTGGAGCTGGGTCTAACGATATATATAGAACCAATCAAACGCGAATTCCTTTTGTTCATTTTTCCACACTATCTACCCGCACGTTTTTAAATATACTATCTTCTTCTAATAAGAGATGGACACTGATATTATATGGTACGATACTAGTGGGGAAAGTGACGGTTAAAAGTTACGGGGGACATTTGGGAATGGAATATCGTTATAAAAACGATCGTTACGTTCGAAGGCTGGACAGATTGTTTATGAAAAGTAAAACGGGAATTTATCATTTATGATATATAATAATATTTGGCTGAAAATTTTTCATAGCACCGACGGATACTGTTAGGTTAAAGTTAGATGGATGGACTACGTGTTAGGATTTGGTGCTTGCCATTTTTTGAGGAAATTTGAAATTATTTCAATATAGAATTTGACTGTAAGTGATATTCTAGACAGTTGTATCTAATTCTTAAATATTTAGTTATATAAAATGATATCTTACAGCATGATACTTTTGTGTATATTAACCTCAAAAGAAAGAAAGGAAGGGAGTTTAATAAACTATAGAATTATTATACACATGTCTTAATGGACTATAGAATTGTCTCATTAATTATGAAATTTGACACGCGCGTTATGTGTGTTTTAATGCAGATCGATATCAAACGAGTGACACTTTACAGCTGACATATCGATCTTTCCCTTTCTTTGCGTTTCGAATGATGTGTGTGACTAGCATTAGCGGCACGTGCTTTTCAAACTGTAGTATACATACATACGTGTCTTTCCGCGTATGGCTTTGCGTTCTTGGCCCCAAATCTGCTTACTTAGTCAATTTTTGTTAATTAATTTACTCCCATTTCGCCCAAAGATAATTCAATTTTAGACTTCCTACCAGCTTTTTAATTTTTAGTTCCCGATAAATAAATTATTCATTTGGGTACTTGAAAAATATTACGAAAAATATTAAAATCAAATAATGAGCTATAAGATTTAAAAAATTATTAAATATCGAGTAAGAATCGACACAGTTATTATTTACTAACCAAACCAAAATAAATTTAGGAAGCTACTAAGAGACGTAGGGCGCACGGAACAGAGCAGGTCGTTAATACCGAGACATTTCGTCAGTCGATCCATTAATAATTGATGATTCGAACATGGAAAATCACTTGAGTTTCTTTAGAGGGCTCCATTTCACGTATTGAGGGTTGAAATCGTTCCTGAAATGCTAACACGTCTCGTTTTGGCAGGTAATAAAGGGGATGAAGCACCATTTTACGCCATGCTCATGCACCCTTTATACCATCGTTCCAGAGATATACTCATATACAAAAGTATTCGAATGTTTACATCTGTTATGTTCAACAACCGAAACACGTACGTTTAATATTTAAAGCAATATAGTACATGTAGCAAAGAGGAAATTCCAAGATTATATAAATAAAATTAGAAAATAATTCAATGACATATTCAATATTTATTATACATTTATTACAGACACGAGCCGTGGTGACGCTAGTGAGTTACATGGAAAATTGTCTTAAGACTGTCACAGAGAACAAAAGACGAATCAACATATTTTAATTTCTTATTTTTTAATTAATGGTACTTTTGACTAGTATCATAAGTTACCTATATGATATTTTTGTGATTTATCAATGGCACATGTTTATAGTAAGTATATCGCTGAATTATTTTTTAATTTTACTGATATAACCTCAAAAGTTCCTTTTTGTTACATATATCATTGTTATTTAAAATATTTTACTTCAATACTTGTACTTTAAACATAGAATGTTTAAATGCAATGCCGCGGTAAAATTGTACATTTCAAGTCATAAATTGTTTATGTGATCATTCTAGATGCAGGAGGTTCAGAATTTTAGCGCAACAGGATTTCTAATTCCTTCCAATATTGGAATGAATTCTATTAAATATTATTTTTTGAGTAATCCCGGCTAAGATTAATGATCACAGACGATGACAAACAGCGCTAGTACCCCCATGCATAAGACACCATTTTGTGCAACAATAATAAAGCCGTATTGTGGCAACAGATAATCGTGCATCAGCGAGGATCAAGCGTAATCGTTCTCTGGAGATTATCAACGCCGCACAAAATAGCACTCGTCGAATTACCGATATCGAGAGCACAATGTGAACTGAAATTCACGATTATCGTGGTTGAACGTGATCTTTTGAGGTTGTACGGATTTTTAGTCACGTAATGCTCACATCCCCATGGTTTACGGTGAGAATTGGAATGACGGTTGCGTGCATGCAGCCGTATGCTTCTGTGGCACGCTCTTTAATTCTAATTTACCCTCGATGATACGTTAATCAACACTGAAAATGTTACACGGAAGTAGCGGTCAGGGATTCCCTTGGTGTGAAGAGCTGAGATTGAAAATTTAGTGGAAGACTGTGATTCGACATTATGTAATTATATTATTATATTATTATATTGTTATCAAAAAGCTTTTTTATAGTAGAGAAGCTGTAGACGATACAAATTTTAAAAACATTATTTTCCTAACTACAGTTGTTTAAACTTTAAACTTAGTAAATCTAATGAAGTTCTTTTATGGATCCATTAGAACTTCTGTCATTAGGCAACTGGTTTATATTTTCTAATAAGTCTTCCATCTTTCTAAAAGAAATTTTAACATGTTAGCACTAACATCTTCCTTTTCTACCCCCTGATTATATCAATAATATAATTGAACTAAAATTCTTTAGAATATCAAAAATTAGTAATAATATCACTTTGCTTAAACAATCTCTTTAATTAGATAATCTTTTGCTATTTCTAGTAACGTAAAGGAAGAAAATAAGGATCTAGTGATCATTTTTCTCCGTAAAGCTCAAATCATGATAAGTGGATGTATCTTGAGAGGGAAAGGGTGAAGAAACTCGTTGATTTGAACATTAAAATGATGGCGAGATGTAACGTCTAAATTCCATTTGGACCACATTGGCACCGCTGAAATTTGCCCGAAAATGCAATGCCCTTAGGCAACAATGCGTTCTCGTGCAAGCTGCACGCGATTACCGTCTCTCACTCCGATGACCCATCCCCCACTCCGCTTTCCGAACGGTAGATATCTCGAAGCGTCGACACGAGGAAGGCCGATCGGCATCGAGCACGACGCTTAGAACGCGGTTGCGAAAGAACCGCGAACCAAGGCATGCGTACGCAACCAAGCTGAGTCGGGTGCAAGTGGAAAAGGGGGATAAGCTAGATTCAGAGGGGGTTCGCGGGTAAAGAAGGGGGGAACGGGTGGGCGTGTGTACGAACCATTTTCGGAAGGTGAATCGATTCCTGGATGAAAATAAGCGACCACGAAGATTATCAATGATGATCTGATACACACCTTTCTTTGCCAGTGCTATTGCGCGAGCTTTTGTAACGACTCTTTACGTTCAACTTAACCCATCCACTTTACATACATACTCAGCACGAAGTATTTACAATCGCGTTAAGAACGCGCGCACCAATGCCGCCGACACAGCATCCGTAGTTGCACGCACTGCGGACAGTGGATATTACTTTTGACGTTTTCTGACTGAAAAGTATGTTTATAGAGAGAGAAAGAAGCATCCCGTGTATCGATATATCATCTGTATGGATATGGTGGAACTGTGAGACCGATTTGATTGATATAACTTGATTCACTGTATTGATGTTTATCACTGAGAATACCGACCAATTGAGAATGGTAAACCACTTTCGTTTACGTAAATGCATATACTAACGTTACACTGATTAATTTGTGTTATACTATCTTTATTTAGATGAAAGAAAAATGAAATAGAGAAGAAGGGAATGATTTCCGAAACAGTCTAACATTTCGAAGGAGATTATTTGCAGACTCACCCTTATCGAAAGTTTCTTTAGCCGCGTGTATGACCTTCCTCCGTTTAAGACCATCGGCCGCGAAGACAGTCGTCATCGTGCTGGAAACGATGCCCGTTGTTCTCTCATCTTCGTCACTGTTCGCGCACTCGCCGGAGGTGGTCGATGCACGGTGGTCGAGGAGATTGATCGGGGACCCCTCGCCGCCTGGCATAGTGTCCCGATTAGCAGGACCGTCGCGTCCTTAACCGAGGACCTTTGCGCCTGAACTGAACTCGCTCCTTCTATGCAACCTCTACTCGCTTCTGTTCGGCCGCGAGCTCTCTTCGCCCTTCGTCGTCGTTGCAGCGTTTCGCAGTGTTGGCCACGTTGTGGCGCCACCCTCGCGACATACTACTACTGAGAACAATACTCTGAAACAATTTCTAATTATTTTCAGTTACTCGTAGCAAGAGACAGTGAAGTTTTTTGATTGATTAGTTAATTAAATGTGAAACATCCAATTAATTAGCCGAGGCAGTTGACTGGATAAAGCTGAATTTATGTCGACGGTGGTAAGTTGCATTAAATTTGTTTATAAGTAGAATAGGTTTAGAAGAGTCGTAGAAATGGTTAAAAGCACATGGCGCTTAGGTTAAGTAGTTCTTTAGCGATTTGTGATTGGTAATCGTTCCAGTTAATGATTATTGATATATTTATTGACTTTATTGATTATCAGTAGATCATAGGGCGTTTCGGTTATTGGGAAGCTCAGTTAGTTAATTGTGTTCCAACAATCCGCAGATGATAATCTCATCAGTACACATACATATCTTTAAAATCAACTGATTTTTTTTTTTTTTTTCGACTTTGTACTCGTTAGAAAGTAATTTTTTAAAAATATTTTTTTATTGAAAAAGTAAAACTTGAACCTTTTAAAAATCATAAAAATCGTGGTGAAATATTTATTGTTTGCTTTTATGAGTAGTAAATAGTAATAAATAATTTATATTTGAATCATATTGTGGGAAAATTGTAATGAAAGTGTGTTTGAGAAAGGTCATTAAAAGAATCTTCAAATTTACCTCACAATGAGTCATACTGAAGTTGAAATACAAGTTTATCCGTGCGAAAGTTGTGTTCGTACCACGACTTCCCGCCGATTTTGATGTCCTATCACTTACTTTCGTTCTTTCCCCCAAATAGGGAAACATATCTGCGTACTCCCGCCATCTGTGGCAAATTTCAGACGCGACTTGCGATCGATCCGGTGCAACGCCATTTCTTGCTCGACTACTCGCCATGATTCGTGCCACTTTTTCTTTTTTCTCTTTTGGCTGCCGTTTTCCACGCCATGTGACACCACTGGAAATCTCGAGTATACGTACCATACAAAAATTAGGTTAAGGATTTATTTGACATTCGCACTAGCTACGAAACTTCTTTTTCGTATATATTTTGAATATTCAGTTCGATTCAATAATATCTAATTCTCTCGATTCCTTTAAAAATCTTTCTGAATATATCATAAAAAGGGAAAATAAAAAAATATATATTAAAATATTTTCGTTTGTTTTTTGCAGTATATCTTCTCTGGAATAAAATGCTATAATAAAAAGGGATAATATTATATCGGAATTAAGAAATTTATTAAATCAATACCGAAAGTCGATTGATCAAAATATGATATACCAAATATGTGTATCAGAAATTCGAACGTGTTTTGACTTTCGCGGTGAGCTTTAAAAGTGTCAAATTAAGGTTCTGTGACGGGAGAAATTGACTCTTTGGACGGTGTCAAGGGCACGTTCTAAATTCGAACCGTCGTTAGTCTATTTCGAGACATCGTCAAGTAGATTATTTCCTATTTCCGGAATCGAAGTGGCCATCAGAAGTGACAGTGGTGTCGTTCTCGTGGCACAGATATCGACAGGAATCGATGGCATGGCCCTCGATTGAATGCAGATAGGACAGGAAAGCGTAGCTATTGGAAAATGATCGTAATGCGACTTCCGGTACGCTTTGATAATTTTCTCCGCTGAGCGTGATGCCTTTCAAGAGGAGCTTTGTGCATCAATAAACAAGCCTGGGAATGTGGAAAAAGAATTCTAAAGATGATCGAACGAATACCACAGCGAATCAAATTAACGTTACCGATCAATTAAAGCGGCCATATTGATAATTTTGAATTTCATTCTTGATTTAATTTTCTTTGTATGCAAGCAATACTGCTATCAAACTTTTTAAATTACAACATTCAGATTTTTTTTTTCAATTTCAAAATTTAAATAGCATGTATTTAACGTATATTTTTTATTTATATTTATCGAAGTAAAAACATAATTGTACAGAGCGTTTCATAGCATGTGAGACTCAGTAGCAAATAGTAAGATAGTAGAAAAATATTGTTGATGATTATGCAGATAAGTAGTTTTATATTACTTGAATATAAATATGACAATAACTGGGAAAGGATGATCAAAAAGCATGTATGTTTGCATCAATTTCTTTAAAAGATTTTATGACCTTCATTTGTTATTAAAGTATATATTCTGTCAACATGCAACGCCCTGTACATGTCAGTTTACCCTCATCACTTTACTCTATCATGATCTAGGTATAAAATATTTAGGCACACATTTAAAGTTGATAATTCCAAGATTAATAAATACTATTGAAATGTTTAAAAATTTTTTAATAGTTTTCAACCAATTGTTTTTGGATGTTCTGAAAACTGTGTAAAAATGTTTTTACATTTTTATATTTTTTAATAATCAAGCAAGGGAATATTAATATAATCATAGTAGAGGTCGTTGGATCGTGCAATAATAATTGAACTCGCAATCAATTCGATCGTCGTTAGGGAGTTTTCGCAGAAAAACAATGGAAGGTTAATTAGAAGAGATGCAACTGAGCTGATGAACTCTATTGAACTTTGGTCCAGGGAGTTTGTTGGCTCAATTTAACACGAAAGGAGCGGGAACAGTTTGGAGAAGTTGTCCGTCTTTCCCTTTGAAAGGAAAACATGCACAGCACCTCGTGCCACCCTTCTTGAAATCGTGAGACTACAATAAGAGAAATGTTATTCTTGGCACTGTTCTCCGGTGAATGATTTAATCCTTTCAGCTGCAACGATTCCTCTTCAATCCTTTCTCTTTGTGCCTTGAATGGAGGTCAAATTTTCGATTGCGAATCGATGAGCATCGAGCATAATTAATGAATTCTTTAATTAAATTTTATATTTATCCCTGTTGATCCCTTCGTATTTTTAAAAGCAATATAACTTTGGATTATATTAAAGAAAAGGCAGTTCTGAAATCAAAATTTACCAATCTAGCGAATTTCTGGCGAAAAAGAATCTTTACGCAAATTTCTCAAAGGAATTGCCTTAAATTCTTTGGTTGAAAACACCCAAAATTTATAAAATACTTGAAAAACCCAGTATTTAGTTGTTAATGCTAAATAGGTTTTCGAATAAATATAATTTTCAGGTAAGGTATCACGAGTAAGATCTCGAGGTTCCATATATGCTGATGAACTAAAGGGGTCGCTGGGGCAGCTCGATTCAGCCGTAAGAAGTCAAGGAACTCGCTTAGGATTGCGTGCGAACGAGACCGGTGTTGCTTTCTCGTGTTTTTATTAAAATACTTAAACGCATAACTTACACGTATACTAACAGTAGGTAAAATTAAGTTAAATAGACTTAGCGCTCTATCTTTTAATTTTTTTCTGTTTTTCTTTTTAAGCGATGAACGTTGATCGAACGCTAGAGGGACCTCCGTTTCCGGTTTCGAAGCAAGCCAAGAGTGTCAGATAATTGTCTGACACCCTTTTAACAAACAAACGACACACGATCGATTCATTGTCGACGATGCTTGATCTTTCTTACCTAACCGGTTCACCCTGACTAGGGTAACATATTATCTGTATCAACCTCCACCATCTTTAAATTCACTTGTATTTATCTACTGCTCACTCTATACATTTGCTCAGTCTTAACCTTTTAAGGTAAAATTACAATTTAACCAAAATTTTTCCAATAAGTACATTGACTTGTTTTATTTTTAAAAAAGAATTTCTATTCACGTACGACGAGTCAACGACCATAATGACACAATTAATGTAACCACCACAGGAACACCGCAATATTATTCACATAAATTCCTTCTATGCTATAAGACTTATAATCTCATTCTGGTATAGAAGAAATTACTTTCAAAGAAAGTTCCAATCGGAATAAATAAACTGAAACACGGTACGAAGATCGCGATCAACGCCGTCTATATATACAAATGACCCTCACGATTGATTTGAAGGGAACGATAATCTCTCTTGTTAACTGTTCTGGTTCCATTCATCTGAACCGATCGTCTCGACTAGGCCTCGTCATTACGCATCGGCCTCTGTAGCAGATTTCCGTCATATGGGAAACTCTCGTAGTCGTTGAAGTTCGCAGAACCTTCCCCAATATCGATTCAGTTGAATTGCTTGGCACAACGGTAGTACTATTGGGCTTCAGAGTGGTTGACAAAGGAGGATCCGTGGCCAAATGTGCGGACGACGAACTCGTTGTTGTGTCGGAGATGGTGTCTATTCGTCCCAAGGTCGTTGTTTTGTCCAGATCAATATCCGTCGTGGGCGCAATCGTCTGCGTCACCTCTATGTCGTTTGCACCGATACTATTCGTTGTTTCCGTTTCCTCGAAGCTCAATTGAGTAGTCGTCTTTACCTCAGCGTCATTTATCGTTAATTCTTCCTGTTCTGACTCATTAGCATGAATCGGAAATTCCATCTCTGACAGAGGAGGTTGCGTGGTTGTTATAATGTCATCCGGATCTTCCGTGTATGTCATCGTTGTCTCCTCCTCGGCACTTTTCATAGTATCAAAGATTGCTTGGACGTAGTCCGAGAGCGTTTTCACGCTTGTGTCTCCTTCGTTCTTTGTTATTAATCCAGGAATCGACGATGTGCCGGATCTACCGCTCGTTTTCACTGAATCATAGCTCCAAGAAGTTTTAGAATGTTCAAAGGCGGACGGATATCTTACCTCGCTCCATTTGGCCCTGTGGTTCTTAGGATAGTTATAGTCTCCATTCTGTCGTTCTTCGTTATGTTCTGAAAACTCTGATGAATTTCCTTCGTCCATTTCATTAGGAGTTTCTACCACATCGCTCTTTCTTTCCGATTTCTTCTCATCAACGGTCAGTTCCTCGACACCTGGAACTCTGTCTGAATTATCGTCCGATTTATTCACGTCGTTATTCTTAGCCCTATATTTACCAGCTATTGAATCGAAGTTCAATGTATTTTGGGCACTCTTCTGGTTCCATTTCTTCATTGATCCCCAGGTTTTCTGTTCTTTTTCCTCTTTATCGGTTTTTGTCTCGTTGTTCTGTTTCTCTTCTTTATCGTTCACCTTTATAATATCTCGTGGTTCCTGAACTAGCTTTGCAAATAAATCTTTATAAGGAGTCTCTGTGATCGTTGCCTCTTCAGTTTTGTATGTGGTTGGCATCGTAGTAATCTGAATTTCCGTAGTTCCATCCACGTCTTCGGGCATCACTATAGGAGTTGTCATGGCTGGAGACATAGTCCACGCAACTTCTGGTACTTCTGTGGTCGTGATCTTCGTGGGTTCGTCATTCTTCAGTATCTCGGTTAGAAAGTCTTGTAGAACCGACTTTTCCGGTGGACTCGATGATGCTGCTGGAAGTTTAGACTCACGGATGGGACTGTACTTGTATTGGTTTCGAAACAAGCCATTCAGAGCAGAGTTGAAGTGTTGGGACTCAGCCGTAACAAAATCATCGACGGTCGGTCTAACTCTAATACGGACTCTTCTCCTTCGTGCTGTCTGGAACAAATGGTTGCAGACATTCGTTTTTATTGTTATCATCGTATAGCACCATTGAAGTTCTAGGATACTTTCTTTCCTTTTTATAGAAATATTCTTACTATAATCTACAATAAGAATTTTGTTTTTAAGCAAATTATTTAACACTCTATATGAGATACATAGTTTTATGACAATGAATAAAGTACAATGATGTTATATTGTACAAAAATAATACTGTTCACCCTTTCGCATAAGAAAAGAGCAGTTTGCCACAAATGCTCATACTGATATTAATATCTCCTTTTTCTCCCCCTATAACCATACACCAACCTCTCACACTAATATTAAACTTCTTTTGTCTGTGCCTCTAACGATCTCCAATAACTCCTCGTACCTATGCATCTTCTTCAGGGAAAAAACCATATTGGTGTACGCCAAAAAGTAAACGAATCTCATATTACTTACACGTTGCAAAAAAGCTACCTTCATATTCTATGACAACAGTTTCTTCTACGTCGTTTGCAACTTTGAACTTACTCAGTGCCCTTCAAATAAGGCCAATCAACGCTGTTAATGATTACCAGACTGAGAATCATAGTGGAACCTTAAAAATTTGAAATAAATTAGCTCTATGATTATTTAGCAATAATTTATAATATCACCTTTTATTAAAATATATTTTTCATTCAACTTCTTATAAAGTTCTTACAAGCTTCTTATTCTCAATCTAATAAACAATATCAGTTTTCATGACTATGATTCTTAGCCTGCTGAATGCATATCCGCTTCAGTCTCGTCTTACCTTCTTCACAGTAGTAGGATTATCGTTCTTCTTCTCAATTTTCTCAATATCGACACTCTGTTGCTCCGTGGAACTCTCCACTCTGTCCCTCTGCCAAGTTTCCTTATCTTGACTAGCTTCATCCACATTTCCATTTTTCTGTTTCGCTACTGGCGTTACTGTGGTCGTCTCAGTCGAGTTCATCTTCTCCGTGTGATCCTGTACACTGGTCTTTCTACCGAATATCGTGGTACCTAGCAGCATTGACTCGTCCTCATCCTCCTGAGCTTGCTTTATTTTCTTGTCATTCGATGAGACCACCAATGTTACAGACGATGGTTCTGGCGCGGCAGTGATTATCTCAGGCGGCTTGCTGTCTTTTAGAGATTCGTGGAACCACTGGTTCCCCTTCGAAATTTCCCCGGGTACTTGATTCACTGCGAAACTTGGTTGGAATGAAGCCCTCGTCAGTTTGGTGGACCACTGACTCTCTGCCCCATAGATATCCGCTGTCGTTGGATGATCATCCTCCGGCGAAGGTCTCGCTCTCGAAGCTTGAGTGTATCTTCTTGGCGCATTACTGGCTAATTGAGTTTGGTCGTATTCCTCACGTTGAACCTGCTGGGCTGGATAGTTCCCGAAATTCAGGAGGAACTCGGGTGGATACTGGAATTTGAGAAAAGTTTTAATTAGATGGAGTTTGAAACTAGGAGTAGTTTGATTGTGCGTGGCGGCACGTGAGTTACATTTATGCGTGTTGGAAAGCATATTTCTGAAGAAAGATTAATTGGTTTCAGATATTTGTGATGCTATCCTGCACTTGAAATTAAAGTAATCTTTAAACGTAACGTGTTTTCAAAATTGTGATCTAAAATGTAGCTTCAAACTTGCAACAGTGCTCAAAATGAGGAGCAAAACACTGGTCATAAAATTTCTATATCGCAATTATTTCTACCTTATCGCGACCCACAAACGGACTGCTGCATGCCAAAACCGATAAATGAAGTCACAGAGCCCACAAATTGGAACAGGAACAAGCCAGAAACAGAAGACTACTTCGTGTACGAACACCGCAAACTGTGCTCGAATTTCTAATCACACCTTGCATCGTTCCTCGTTAATGTTCCTTCTAATCCACCTAACTGTCGCCGGAAGCGCTGTTCAGTATAGTGTACTCACGTTTTCGCTAGAGGTCTCGTAGAATTGATGCCCGGTTGGATTACGTGTTCCACCGGAGAATCCTCCGGCGCTATCGTAATTATCGTCGTACAAGCTTTGTTGTTGCTCTGTGGTCACGGGCTGTGGGCGTATTGGAGGATAATTTTCGTCCAGTGGTAGCTCATTATGCGCCTCCAACACAGATTCGGTACTAGTGGTAGTTACACGTTTTCTACCAGGTCGGCGGACTCTACTTCTTACTCGAGTCTGTTTTGTTTCATCTGTTCGAGATTTTGATTTAGCTGTGTATATCGCATCATCTGGAAGTACTGTGGCAACAGGTATTCTTTCAGTAGTCGTGATGGTTTCTGGTGTTGTTGTGGGTGGTGGCAAGGTGGTTGGCTTTGGTGGTAAGCGACGGCTAGGAGTCGGTTGGTATTTCTGACGATTTTTCAGCAGCTGTGTCTGTGGAGGATTCGATTCCACTGCGGTCTCATCATTCGGTAACAGTGATTGCTGTGGCACCTGAAAACAGGATGTTTTACTATCGGTGTTTGGTTTTGAGAAAACTTGTTTTCTCTGTAAATTCTTATCTGCTATAAAATGGTTTAAAATATTCCCTTTGTTCTTAGATTTTTGTTAACTAAAAATTATCAGTTTACGTTGACTTTTTCAAAGTTACCCACCTCTGGAAATTGGGGCCGGTACGTTACAGGTGCTTGGTATCTGTTATCCACTGGATGTACTGGTCGGAAGTTCGGTGGTCTTATAAATCCATAATCAATGTCCTCTTCCGTTGGACGTACCGTAGTAGTGGTTGTAGATGGCGTTGGTGTGGTTGTAGCGATTGACCTTTGCTGCTGTACCGCATGAATCTTAATGTAATCGCTATCGTCAGTCTGAGTGTGGGACCCATGATTCTGGGTACGAGATCTAGATCTGACTCTTTGTCTACTAGGGGAGGTTCGAGTAGAGTCTTGTTTCACCACGTTGAAACGAACGTACTCATCCTGTGAACCTCTGTTCCGTGTCTGAACCGAAGATTCATGGTGCGGTCGAGTGCCAACACGTCCTCGAACTCGCTGTCGTATTACTACAGGAGTTGTGCTCGTTGTAGTTGTCTCTAATGTTATCTGAAATATTAATGTGTAATTGTTCTAAAACATCCTTTCATCGTAGTTACCTAACTTTCGAATTATTCTGTATCATAGCGAGCTTATGCTTTTATTTTACCTTGTTAGAATTTTAGTGAAAATTAAAATTAGTGCAAAAATACTTATACAAAAATAACTATTGGAATCTGATAGTAAGTGCCCTCACATCTGACAATGAAATCTCCGTGGAAGAAACTGGCAATTCATAGTCTTCCTGTTTATTCTCCGGCAACGGGATAAATATCGGGTCCTCGTTAGGATTAGCATCAGCAACGGCAGACTGAATCTTCTCGCTTTCCACCCGATGCAGATTATCCTGTCCCGTCAAAGTGTACTCTGACTGCGGTTGCGGTACATTCACCTCGTAAATCGGCGAGTAACGTTCATCTTCTGATGCCCTAAATCTCGGATCAACAGTCGTAGCCAACTCGAAGTCACTATTTTCTACTTTTCCATCCAACTGATAATTCTTTGGCCTCTGAATAATTCCTTGATCCAGTGATTCTTCGTTTTGAGCCTGATAATTAAATCCATTCACTGGACTATGTTCTAGACCAGTCTGTTCAAGGGTAGATTGATCATAATTAGGTCGATAATGTGGCTCCTCTTGAATATTCTGAGGATAGTTTTGACTTCTTGAATAATCTTCCGAAACCATAGCGGATCCGTGATTTACCGTGACATCGTGGAGAGGAGGATAGTTCTCGGTAGTGCTGACAGTAGTGGAGGGATAATTCTCTGGGGCGTAGTCGTTCAAGTTTGACGACGAATCCAGCTGACGACTACCACTCGTATCTGACCCGGTTGCAGGAAGGAACGTGTTTGACGTAGAGGAATTCGAATCACTATGGGACACGGTGTCGTACGATTGTTGTGTTTGTACGTTCTGAGCGTGTCCGAGGACCTGTTGGCATGAAACAAGTCGTTTCGTTCAAATAAGTCAAATCGTTAATTTTACGCGCATTAATTTTAATATTTATATTAGAATAAAATATTTAATTCAATATTTAATACCGATAATAAATATCAAAAGAATATTAATGAATTTTGTAGAATTTTTTAAAGAAGTATAGTATCGTTTAGAGTATACTTGTAGTTTGTATAACTAAAACATTGTATAATTAATATTCTTTTCTAAAGCATTTTTCTTATGGTGAATATGTGTATTCGTTCTTATAAAAATATTTGTTTTCTTCAGATAAAATCTCTTCAGATAAATAATCAAGCTTCAGTTGATTTTCAAGGACAAAATGACGGTAACACTAGCAATTTAGATGAGATGCTGTACCTCAGATTGTTGACTAGTCTTATCTCGACTTCTGTACTTGTGTGTCCTGCTGACTGGTCTCCTGTGCTCTACATTGTATCTCAACGTGGTTTCCGGGATTTTAGATTTAGTTGGCTCGTAAGCGGATTCGCGATACTCCTCTGTAGTAGTTGTGAATCTAGATCTAGATCTATTGTACGGTCTTCGACTTCTGTCTACATTTGCTCTTGTAGCTGGAGCTTCAGTTGTTGTTTTAGGCCTCGTGGAAACTATTCTGCTTCTAAAATTAAAAGCATTCAAAACATTTTGTTCACTAGTTGAAAATGGTGCTTAATTTGAATTATATTCAAATTTAAATATACCTCTGTCTACTACGAGGCCTATACGTGGTCGTAGGAGTACGCGGCGTCGTTGTAGTAGTAGTAGTAGTGCTAGTGGTCGTGGTGGTCGTACCAGCTTGAAGTTTTGCCTCGTTCTTATCCAATAGAGAGTTTACCAGACCAGGAAGGTGCGGTGAGATCGCTGGTAGTTCTGCCGGCAAACTATACTGCGTGGGTCCAACGGGAGCTCTAACGTCGTTAATATCACCAGCAGTGATTTCACCGTCGAAACTACCAGTGAGACCAGTAGAGACCTGGGGATTGTGCTGACTATATTGTACATCAGTGTTATATCCTTGTGTTTCTCTCTGCTGAGCCAACTGCTGATTAATTAATGCTAGCTGACCCGAGGGGTCCTGTTGACCTATTGTTTCTTCTTTGAAACTAGGTGTGGTAGAATAAGAAACTTCTTCCGCGTGACTCAATGATGTCTCCACTTTGGAACTTTGCACGGGAATTTCAGTAGTCCTTAAATTTTCGTCGTAATACTTTTGCTTCCTCACTGTGGACCTTTGATCATCGTAATAAGACGTACTAATTACAGAGGCTGGCTTATTGTCATTGTAATACTGTCTGAACCTGAACTTGGATCCAGAATACCCGGGAGATGGCGTTGCTGAGTATGGTTGTTCATATTTCGGGGTACTCGACAATTCTGGAGAGTAGCTTATGGTCGTCTGGGGCTCGTACAAAGGAGTAGTAGGATTAGATTCACTGTTTAAACCGTCTAAGTAAGAATTAGGTTCTATTAGTGGAGTGGGACTAGGATTATGATTATCGGTCTCTTTTGGATCGGTATTATCCAAAGTATTTACCACCACTGACCCAATATGCGGCGCTGGGAAGGGAATTTTAGAATATCCTGGGGGTGGGTCGAAACTAAGGGGTGCCACAAAGAAAGGCAATTTATCGACTTTCCTTTCCACTCGGTTGTGGTCAATAGACGATAAATAAGGAAGATCAAACTTAGCATAACCTATTGGCGGTTCTAAGCTAGTTGGACCTACAAATACTTGAGGAGTATCTGGACCAACTGTATCCAGAACAGCTATAGTTTTAGCATCTTTTAATATCCTTAATACGTCAGACACTTTAATATTAGCTGTCTTTGAATTGGAACCTGCCATATAGACTGATAAGGGAGGCTGATTAGGAGAAGGAGTTGTAGTTGTTTGTCTATAGTTCTGTTGGTCCTGGTACGACGGAGTTCTCTGCCTTTGCCGTCCTCTGATTTTAGTTTTACTTTGTTTTGGCGCTTCTGAGAAATGTTGACGATGAAACTGTTGGTGTTGATCTCTGATTAAAGGGAGAGCCTGAGCTTGTACATTTTGATTCTCAGAACGCTCTGGACCAGTCACACTAGTTTCCCTTTCACGTTGTTTCTCTAAGATCTCTTGCTGCTTCAAGGCCTGTTGGATATCCAATTCCTTCTGCCTTTCCAGAACAGCAAGTCTTTCAGCTTCTCTCTGTCTAGCCGCTTCTTCTGCTCGTCGTTTCTCTTCTTTTGCTCGAACTTCGGCTAACCTTCTTCTCTCTAGTTCCTCAAGTCGTTGTTTTTCTCTGGCTTCTCGAATTCTTTCCAATTCTCTTTGCTTAGCTAATTCTTCTAATTTTTCTAATTCTTTTTTCTTCTTCTCTGCTTCCCGTTGTCTTTGTATCTCCTGTTCTCTTTGGAGAGCTTCTTGTTGGAGACGAGCTTTTCTCTCTAATGCTCTTTGTTCTTCGTTCAGCCTGGCAATTTCTTTCATTCGTTCTTCTTTCAGAAATTGGGCTTTTTCCTCACGTTCCAACTGGATTTGTTGCAAAATTTCTCGAGCTAACGTATCCTGTTCGTGTACGCCATCTACGCCTTGATTTTCGTGATGTTGGTGTGTTTGTTGAGGTTGCTGGTGCTGCTGCTGTTGTTGTTGTTGTTGACGGGAAGGATACTGTTTCCTTCCACGGCCTCTTTTCGGCTGACCTCGTTGTGCCAATGTTTCTGCTGGGACATAAACTAATTGCACCTATCAAGAAATAGAGCCGAAAAAGATGTCAGTCAAAGATTTGTTAATTATACTAAATTATATAAAAAGTTAATCCCCAATAGAAAACACCAACCTCTTCTTCTTCATCTTGTCCACTTTCACCCTGAGGCGGTAAGGAGGAATGACTCGTTTGCTTCATCTGTTTCGCGCCTTGTCTTTGATTCTCTTCAATCTGTTCAATGTTTCCAACATTCTGACTCTGTTGTAACAGTTGGCTATTCTTAAAATCTTGCCCGGGCAGGTTACTAAACTCTTGCACAAGGCTTGCATCTTGTTTGGTCGGTGCGTGAGGTCGTGGTCGTTGGGGTAGGAAGTTTTGTGCTGGAAAAGCTGGTGGCAATGCTTCAGAGGCAGGAAGAGGTGGTACCAAATCTTCCGACGCAAGATTTGCCACCTGCGAACTGCCTAATCCGCCTTGATGCAGTTGTTTCTCCTCATCTGCATTGCTGAAGCCGCTAGGTAGAAACGTCTGAGACTAAGCAAATAAAGACTTCCATAAGTTATAAAGGATTTCATTCAAATTAATAGTACTTCTTTAGAAATAATAAAATTGAAGATTCTTAAATTTATTCAAAGCAAGCAATTTTATGCAATCTATTATATTTCATCCTCCTGACGTAATTAATTTTGCAACAAAAAGAAATATCATTCTTCGTACCTGTAGAAGCTGTTGCTGGGCTCTGAGTTGTTGCTGCAACAACAATAGTTTCTGTATATTCTCTTGCGTCTTCTGTAGTTGCAGCAACTGTTCTTGGTACTGTTGCTGAAGCGCCGACGGCAAGGAAAGCTGAGGAAGTTGAGGTAACTGCGCGCTTCCACTCGTTAAAAGTCCCGTAGTGGGGCCATTTTGCTCGACTTGAGTTTGCGTTGCTCTAGGATTCGTCAATGGTATCCATTCGCTGTTTGACACCTGTCGCGACCATCTTTCGGCTTGTACCGTACCAAATTTTACCGACAGGATCAAGCAAATTGATATTATTAATGTCAAATACCTCCGCACAACCTGAAATCATAGAATATAAGCTATATGGATCTACTTCATCATTCCTTATGCTATTGCAAACCTAATATGATGTGTTTGAAACATAGTCCTTTCTGCTATCTTTCTTTTGAATGTTTTCGTTAGGTTTATTCGTATACAAATCTGATATAACCGCGAAGAATAAGCGCGACCGAATGACAACGAACGACAACGCACGAGGGTAGACGAACACGTATAAACGGTAATCCGAGTACGACCGATCTTGACCGAAGATTAACGAACGAGATCTGTCACTTGGTATGTGTAGTATGGTTAGAGCGTTCCTTGCGAATGGAGAGAATGCGAATGTAGACCGAAATTCACATGAAATTCCGTATGGCTTTTGTTCAATCGTCTTAACGAAACGAATAAATTAAGTCTTTGATATTTACACTTTTATCTTCATTTAAGGGTAACGAATCACGGGATTTTCATAATGACGACAGTGAAATATAGATGAAGAATGAGATATATAAATAAAATCATTTCGTGGCGAAGAAAATTGTTTTCGGCATAAAATCTGTACAGATTTTCTTCTTTGTCTTCGCCATCTTTGGTGGTAACTAGGAACAGTAATGAACATGATGGCGAATCGATTGGAACGACGATTTTCTGCTTGGATAGAAAGGAGGTGGAAAAAAATGCGACCGCAATTCGTGGTGATCGGCAGGAACGCAAGAAACTGAAACATATCCTGACAAATAGTCATGATTCAATTGGTATCGCTATTAATAAAACCGCAAAGGAAGAGAAGAAAAAAGGAATGAAAATACTTCTGCGGTATTAATGGAATTTAGATAAACGTTGACTATAATTTTCTAATTGGTGAAAATCGGTTCGCGTGAAATGGTTGCACAGATAAAAATTAATAGTTTTGGGAGAAAGGAGGCAATTTCCATGGAAAAAAGTAAGGCAAAAATAGAATAATAGCAATTTTTTTACTTTTGAGAAAATTCACATACTAGATAATTGTAAAATGTACAATAAAAATTTGTGATATAAAATTCTGTTTTCTTTTTTTTTCAGTAGTTAAAGAAGCCATTACAAAGATATGAGTACATTGACTCAGTCTATGAAAAAAATGTTTGATTTTGAAAATTTTAATGATTGTAAGTTAATTTTCGAAGTTTCTAGTCGGAAACTATGTGGGGCACGTATGAAACTTACCCGCGTCCGCGATTGTAAAATTAATCAGTGAATGTAGTTGTCCTTCTAGCTGCAAACTCGAAAACGTAGAAATCATGTTGGTATACCTTATGCGTCACACGCATTTGCGATCTCGAATGCATTCTCTATGCGTTCTCTATATGAAAAGTGTTATGAGCATAATTAACTTCATCGAATGTTCTGAAATTTCAGTACAAACGATTTGGATTGAATTACAGTTGTATTATAATATTTAATAACTGTATAGTACTAGAACAATTTTTTAAAGTAAATTTTAATGAATAGTAGTAAATATTATAATAGTTTATTAAATCAAATTTTTAAATATAGAACGTATTAAAGTAATAGTGGATGAAATGTGAGTAGATAATATAAAACAAAAATGAATCGATTTCTAATTTTGGTAACGCAAGCAGTTTGCATGCTTCGGTTTGTCGAATACGATTTGTGAATACGAAATTATCTTTCCGTGATCTCTTTCTGATGTCTACTAAAGGTATTTTACGTGATCCACATTTACGTATAGAGTTGTGTTGTTCACGTAACATTTACGCAAGTTAATTATTCGGTTTCGATTTTATCGACCCAAATTGTTCACGTGACATATACATATAAATATTATTACAATTATGAATATTAATATATCACAAAATAATTATTAGATTAGTTTCCTTTGTTCTAAAAGGAAAAGCACTAACAGAATGTTTACTTGATCATATTATTCTGAATTTACCCCAGAAAAGGATAAGTATTAAATAAAATTTTTTTAAATATTTATAAACTCTTATATTATTACGTATATACTAATCTGGATTTTTACAGACAGAGTGAACATAAAAGTAGTAGCATACATTTTCCAGCATATTATTTAAATGCGAAACTTTCAAAAGGCACTCAATATTCATTCATACTTAAGAAAAATGATTAATCGTCCCTGTAAACGCGAGCGAGTTTCAGAAACGTTTGTAAGAATTCGTTATTTCTTCAGTAACGAAAGAATTATCATCATCATCATCGTCGTTACTGCTATTGCGTGTCGGAATATCTAGAGTGCAACCGTAGCTAACGAACTGTGAACACTCTCAAAACGGATTTCTAATAAATACCAGCGCACCCTGAGATTCCACAGTGAATCTTTCACTCGAGTTTTCGAAACAGTTGGAAATCGTCGCTAAAAAACGTTTCGTCATTTTCCTGTCCCTTTGGGATTAATTGCATTCTCCTTTTTTCTAATCACAACTCTTCATCAATTAAAATTTAAAGATTTTATTTGATCGATTTGAAATTTTGAGTTTCTCGTTTCGATTAATTTGAGGTTAGGAGTTTTGTATTTTGAATAGTCTCAAATGAAACACTCTTTGTTTTGAATAATTTAGAATTCGAAGGATTTTAGTTTCATTAGCATTTTATGGTGCTAGGTAACGTTGTAACCTATCTTGTCAATTATGGGTAAAATTGAATTTCATTCTTTCTACGTTTTCACATAAAACGATATTTGTTTCATTTAATAATTCGTCCGGTTAAGGTGATTTTATAGATAATAATGCGGCTTCTGATTATTGATTGGTCTATTATTACTGCAATGTAAAAATAGGTTTTCATTTAATTATATTTTTATTTTCCTCGGCCAATCTAGTAGGGTAGAAAAAATGATTGTACTCAATATGATGATAAACATCACTATAAATGAAATATAGTTCCATTGTTGAAAAAATAATCAGCTGATATTTAACTATCTAATTCTATGCCATTTTCTATGCAAACTTCTATAAAATTGCATTATTATTTCCAAAGGAAGGTAATAAGCTATCTGGTCAAAGAACAGTTTGATAAAGTAAAGTATAATCTATTATACTCTATAATTGTAGAAAGTCTCAGCTTTACTTTGCCTAACAATACTAAAATATTACAAAAACATCGTTGCAATTATTGAAAAAGCGGAAAAACATTTTTCGGTATTATTTCAAGCATCTTCGTTTGCAATAACCAATTTACTTGTACTCTGTTTCGATAGAGATATATTTATCTACAACCAGATAGAAAACTGTGTAGAACAGGTAGCTACGATAAAACTCTTCAACTTGACTGACCATCGATTTTCATTCGACTGTCGAAGCTGAAAAGTTATTAGTTCTCGGATAAGTGATGGTTTAATAATTTTAAGGATTATAGACATTGATCGTTCAAAGGTAGCACAGTGCTCAGTGCTAAATACGTACATTTTTAGTTATTTAAAGAATTCAGATTCCTTTCATTAATCAAGAAGAAAAGGTAGTTTATGGTCATATAAGTTACAAATTAAAATCTGTGTCCCTAGAAAGCTACCAATGGAAAAAATATATAGTTAATTTCCTTTGCCCAATAACTTAAATTAAAGTAAGTAATAAAATATATAATATATAATAACTTCAATAATGAGCATAGAACTTTTTTTGAAAAGCTGTTTCTAAAAATCACAAAAAATATAAAGATAAAGCATACAAAATTTAATTACATTTTGCTTAATGATGACAAGATAAAAACTCCTTAATTATGCATTTGCTCTCAGAATCAAAATTAATAGATCACGGATCCTAATCCATTCACTGGCACTGAACAAGTCACCGACTTTCCTCCGTTAAAAGAATCTTGCCGAAGCCATTCCACGAACGTACTACTGACATTAGTCAGATTACATTATGCAGAGTATGCGATTTTCATCTCGGAAGATTCATCGCGTGCCGGACACGAGTTGTTGTCTTTCTGCTTTCTTTGTCGTTTCCGCAATGGAAACGAGCCTATAAAGTGTGAATTTATTGCGATTCAATAGATATAATGAGTGTAAAAGGTATTTGTACTTACTTCTGTTTCTCAATTAAAAGTTAAAAATTTTTATAATTCATCTTTGCATATTATATATCATACAAGAATTAGTTGTAGATTGAAATATTTTTAATATACTACAACTTTATCAAGATATTTAGCAAAAATAAAATAATCGTTACGAAGATAACCGAAACATCTTTGTATAGTTGAGGTTATGTGTATTTTTAGTAGTCTTTAAATTTCTTTTCACATCTTTTCGCCACTAAAATCAGAAACAAGTATTTTTTATTCCCATTATATACATAGGTTCACAATTCACAACTCACGTCACGTCATGGTATTATGCGAATCAGCTCCCCGTAACGGCTTCCTGCTTAAAATTTCGGTCATCATGCGGTTTACACCGTAAAATCAGTGCAGCCGGGATTATGCAAGTCTTAAGGCGGCTTCTTATACGCCACTTCGAAGGAACATGCCACTCGACGCTTGGCACAACTCTTACACTGATTTATTTATTATCGATATTGGTCTTCGATGAGTTTCATTTCCTATTGCAGGAGCCTTAAGAGTTGTGCGGAGAGAAAAAGTTTTGGTCATTCCGAAAGAACGTTACAGGGATGGAGAAGGATTGTCGAGTTAGATGAAAGAACAAGTAAAGATTACAGAACGAGGAATAAAGAGAGATCTTCGAAGAAAAAAGAACGAAGTAACTAGGTTAGGTGTGATGTTGCTGGGCGTTTATTGTGCAATCAATGATAGGTGAGTACGAAGAATGGAGTTCATCAATCCTTATATTTACGTTGTGCTCATGAATTATTAAATTTGAATTGATCGACTATGATTTTCATTAAACAATTTGTAATTGTGTTGAGTATTTCAAGGTAGAAATACTGAAACAAGGAATTCCATCACAATTTAGTTCCTTCAAACTTTTAAATATCGCAATGAAGTATAATACAACATATTACAAAGAACGTAGTATATACTAGCTTTTCATTAGTATAAACTGTAATTTACATCCATTTAACGTTATAATTTAAAGAGGAATTATTCTTATCAAATTTTCAATTTTCAAGCATCAATTTTCAATGTAA